ATTTCCGGTATATTCCCTCCAACAGATCCGGGTTGGCTATTAAGCGGAAATTTCCCGGATACAGTTTGTCAAACGAGTTTACGATTTCTTCGTCTATCTCCAATTGCGTTTTCTCGTGTTCGTGAACCATCCTGCAGTAAATTTAAAATGCATTTAAGTCTTTCTCAACAAGTGACTTGAAAATCAAGAATGTTATAGAAAACTATTCAGATCCAGCACAAGGTATTCAGGATATGCATCTGTATACGATAGTGGCCAAAAAAAAAACCTCTACATTAGGGTTTTATGGTCGGTTGTCGGTCTGATGCGACGTTAAGCCGAACCGAATAAATTTCGCACACGCTTTTAACATATTGCTTCATCTCGGAAGACATGTGCCATTAGAGTTATATAATAGTTACATGTGAATGTTCAGATGTGTGTGTGTGTGTTAAGATGAAAACGTTTACCAATCGATACACAATTCCGACCCGGCGATGGTGTCGCCCGTCAACAGGCTTTTCTCGTACCATTTGAACGCGTTTGCGCCCACGTCGATGCCCTCCTGAAGCAAGTTGAGTATTTTGCACGCATCGGTCGCCCCTTTTAGAGTACTAAAAAAATAAATGCATAGTTTGTTTTTTTGTTGCTAAAACATCAGAAATAATTGATAAACCGCGGCTACTAACAACTTGGTTTGTCTCGTATCGGCCGACATATTTGATGCCGTATCGCTGTTGAATGCGGTCCTGCAACCATTTTCAGGTTATTTAATATACAATTATGTAATACGGATTATCGTTTCATATATTATATATAGTTGTGTCCACCAGTTGCAAAAGGTCGTATGAAATGGATATTTTGACATTTTATTGTTGTTCACTGGTCATTCATTGTCGTATATAAATCTCAAGTTTCAAAACATAGTGTGTCCTATTTAAATTTGTATTTAAACAATTTAAAGTTGTATTAGACTAAGTAGTAACATTTAGTAACTGACCATTTGTGACTAGTGGACTTGTGTATAAAATTATAAATACATGTTAGTATTTTTATGTGTATTGTCGAAAAACACGTTTACCCTGGCGTGGACGAAACGGGTTGTTTGAATATACCGGCCAACGACCGTTCCCAGTCCAAAGGGGCCGCGTGCATTGGGTTTGACGGTTTCGACGACGACAAATAGAAATTCCAATCACTTAGAGGATAGTCGGCTCTGGCGAAGTAACATTGGATGCCTACTTTAGGAACGACCTGAGACGCCGCGTACTGGCACCTGTCCTCGGAAACGACCGTCATGACAGGCGGATTCAAGATGACACCCTTACAGACGGGATCAGTGGATCGAATGATAGATTTGGCTTTATCCATCAAGTCGCAGTCCAGAGGATCGATCACGTCGGGCGGGTACTCGTTGAAAGGGCACACCGAATCCGGGTGTTGCAGCCCCATTACGAGCAGCTTCACATAGGCTTGTCTGGTGTCAATGTGTTTGTGATCCTTTAGAGCTTTCAACCACGTCGAGTACTTTGACGTCACTGCAAACCCGATCAAGAATAACACTTGTGAAAATCCACCAACATTTTCTCAACGTATAGATAAGAATGTTATTTAACTGTAAATGTTAAGACATTTCGTCTATCGACTAGCCTTTCCTTGTTCTAAATTGTATGGTGTGATACAAATTATGTTGTGGCAATAGGTGGACCGTGGAAAAACTGCTAGTTATAGCTATTGTTAAAGAAACCATAACAAAGGAAAACGCATTTATTTATTTTTTTTTTTTATATTCTAATACTCATCACTGTATTTATATATAATTTATATGTACTTATTAATAATTTATACTTTAAATTAGGATTTGGCTAAAAATCGCTTATAAATTATATATATACATTATACATTTATATATAAAAGTTTTATACCCCAACATGTAATACGTATAAATTGTTCTATCATATTTTTCTTAATAATACTTAACAGTTTACCAAGCAACATTTCTTATATATACTTAGGATGTGGATAACTGTTTTTATTGTGGCCAGGAGTACTAAGCTATAAGACTAGAAATTAATTTACCGGTTAATGTTTATAAGCTTCAAGGTATTATTTTTTATTTAAATAATTTTTTTCTACGAGTAAAAGCCATTTTGATTTATTTCAGACCAAAAAACCAGACAAAATGTCGACTACATACGACGGTCTAACATCAATTCTGTGAAGAGATTCGAATTTTTTGGCTACTTTAATATGTTATATAGGAAGCCGATTTTTATTTATAAATGTCAGTTTCTTGTTATTAAATAAATTTAATTTGCAATTTTTTCAATACTAAAATCCAATTTTTTTACATAAAAAGCAAAAAATCAAAAATCTGTTTCCTACAAAACCTACCTAGCAAAGAACTCGAATATCTTTACAAAATTGAAATCAGTCTATTTTAAGTAGTCGACATTTTGTCTAGCTTATTGATCTAAAACGTAAAAAAAAAAACCGCATGCAATTCCCTTAATGAAAAATAAAAATCATTCGAATAATTGTTTTTTTTCAATCCCTGAGTTTTGGGAAAAATGTATGCGATTAACCATTTTTTTTTTTTATTGGTCAACCTATTATTGAGGCCCTTTTTTTAAGAGCACGGCCTTGATAAAATGCCTGTGCACGTCTACGGTGACCAGTTATCACAACAAAATGGTATATTTGTAATTGTAATTGTAATTAACACGTTTAAGTCATATAATTTTAAAAAAAAATAGTAAAAGTGAACTAAAAAAAAAAAATAATTTTATTACAAGAACAATTTACCAATCAATTGTAGCATATTTTATTTAAAATGACAAATACTTTGAAAACAACCGAAAATTAACTATAATTTTAAATAATGTTAAACATCTTAATATTTGACTAAAAAGAAAAGCGTGTGCCCTATTCAACAAAGTCCCTAATAAATTTTTCAAATAATGTTTTATATTGTAAGTTCTTTTGTAATTTAAATTTAGTTTAATATTTGCGTGTGACTCATACATTTCAATGAATTTGGACTTTGTTGAATAGGGCCCACTCTTTTCTTTTTAGTCAAAAATTAAAGATGTTTAACACTATTTAAAATTGTAGTTAATTTTCAGTTGTTTTCAAAGTAATTGACATTTTAAATAAAATATGCTACAATTGATTGGTAAATTGTTAATAAAATTATTTTTTTACTTTTTAGTTCACTTTTTACTATTTTTTTTTTTTTTTAGAAAAGCATGTTTTCAAAAAAGTTTTTTTTATTTATTTATTTTTTTACTTTTTAGTCCTATTAAAGGTATTAAATAATTGCTGAATAGATTACTAAATTAATTTTGGAAGATTTGGAAAAAAATGAAATTTTAGTGAAATGACCCCCACATTTGACCCTGTGTAGGGCGACTTGGATATCCGAGTCCCAATATGATTACAGAATATTGTATTGTCATCTAAGATGAGTGTTTGTGCCAAGTTTCAGCCCTATACGACATCGGGAAGTGGGTTAAATTAATTTTGCAATATTTGAAAAATACCCGTACAAACGCAAGTACTTACGTGTTAGTGAGCTAAAGAAAAGCATGTAAAAATGTAAAGGCACTCCTAAAGCGTAAAAGTACGCCCCAAAAAAGGTTTAAGAGCTATGGTAAATTGTACACACCTTCGGTATTGCCCTTTCTTAGAATCATCAGCTTGGCTAGTTGGTGATAAAAGTCGAAATCGTCAGCAACAATGCTGCTAAGTAGACGGCTGTCGTCTACTTTAGACGGGTTTGGTTTTTCTTTTTTCGCAATATTTCTGGCTGCCATGTTTTACGTGTACCGTGTATTTGGTAGCAATTTAAAATTTTATTTATAACACTTAACAATTTTTAGTTATTATTTATATTTTATATTTTATTGTATTGTGTATGGACGTGCATGTATATGTATATGTATATATATGTATTTTCCACACAAACTTGTGTATTGTAACGAGTTGGTCGTTACGAGTAACCAAAAATAAAACAAAAAAAAACCATTCACTTGATAATTATTATAATAGTAGTTGTATTGTAAAACTTATTTAACATGTAATGTGAAATAAATTGTTAACTACTTTTTTCATATATTTTCAAAATAATATGGTAAAAAACTTGTTGCCCCGAATCAAATATCTGCCGACTCAGTCTATTCGATATTACCACCTCGTATATATAGTGGCCTTTCAAGTATGAAACAATATCAATTTATTTGTTTTAATTTCTTATGAAGAATAAAGATCCCTACTAAAGAAAATAAAAGCGTTTAATGATCATCAATAGGGATTTGCATAGTATATACTATACTGGTAAAGACACGCGGATATATTTTTTAAAAAGTATATGACTTACTTTAAAGTAATAGTTACAGTTGTATAGGCTTTGAACGAAACAGAAAGCGCTGTTTACAAAGAGACAAAAGAGAGGCAATATTTAATATAAATTGATAGGAAAAATGTTGAGTACCTATGCCTTATAACTTAGGATTAAATCAATGTTTTTAATTTTTTTTCTTATTTTTTAAGTTTAATAAAAAATTACTTTTACTGAAATTACTTACTCTACTACACAACAAAAAAAAAACGCTTTTACTTAACGTTGTTTTAAAAAAAAAAAAAATTTTATTTTACATTGGAAAGTAATAAGGATACATTAGAAACAAATAAATTAATATTCAAATAGACTCAGCTTAGTGCGTTAAAACATTAAGTGTTGCTCTATTCACTAACTCTATACTAAAAATACTAAATCATATTATGATAACTGAAGAGCTACAATGTCATAGCCATTATCTACAAACATGCGATACACAATGCCTGTCGACATCTACATTTTTTTAATAGCCTTTATTTAAAAAATATTATGGCTGAAATCATCTACATTATACGGCTAGATCATTAAATATTAAGTCTATTTCGTATTAGTAAAAAAATATCCTTGGTAACCATCAATAAAATATAACATTTCTGTCAACTCACAAAAAATAAAAAATTAGTTATCCTATGACTGTTAGTTTTATTTATTTAATTACAATCTCATATTATTACATTTTGTTTGAATATTTTAAATATATTTTCTGAATATTTGGAGTATACATTTAACATTTAAAAATGTTTTGTATGGAAGGCTTTCTCGTTTACTTTTTTTTTTCCTTGGACTTATTCTGATTCTGACTACTTTCTGCGTGTGTTGATGAACGGCGAATAATTTCTGGCATAAAATCAACTCCTGCACTTTTCAATTTTTTCATCAGACCATGTACTGTGGCTATACCAACTTCTAGAGTAGATAACAATTGTTATTAAAGTACAAATCAAAAATAATAAATTAGTTCTTAGTAGGAGACTTTAAAACATTAGGAAATATTTAAAACTTATAGACTTTATACGTCAAAGTATAAATTGTATTATACTAAATTAATACTAATATTTTATAGACTTAAGTTAAATATATTATTTGAATGGCTTCTTTTAACGTGTATACTGTGATTTACATATTTGTTTTGAATAAATAGTTCTTGAGATTTTAACATTTAAAGGCATAGAGTACAGTAAATGATATTAAAATACATAACGGTAATAATTAGAAGGCAAAAGACTACGTCATTGTAAATCGGTCAACGTAAAATAACGTTATATTTATAAATTTCCAATACTAATTACTTAATGATATTTAAGTTGTTATTATTGTTACTATTTTTGTTGTTGCTGTTACTATAACTATTTTTATTCTACGTATTTTAGATACTACAAAAGTTGTCTAAAATTAAGATAACAATAGTCCTCTACACAAGTTCTTTCAGTAAGACCCAGTTAATATGTGGTTAATGATATTAAATTATAAATTTAATTAAATAAACAGTCGAGAACAGAGCACAGTTTTATTTTAAAAAGTTAGGGGGAAGTTAAATACCAAAAATACATTATAAACACCTCCTCTTAAGAAGGGAAGGTTTTATAATATTTTCGGTAAATAAATAAGTGTAAATATTTTTTACTATAAATAACAAAAAGTATCTTCTTATTTTATATTTACCTAACTTACATTATGATCCTAAAGAAATCACTTTTTACGGTTCCATTCAAACAATTTTTTAATGTTTATATATCTTTATCAACACAATAAAGATTTTTAGTAAAACTTTATCAGCTAAACGAACGATGTCACAGAAAAAAATATTTCCTTAATTTTGTAATACAGTTCAAAATGTTTTTTTAAGGGAATTGTATGCGGTCTGTCTTTAAGGAGTTTAGTATATTTAAGAAAAAATTGGTTTTCATAAATTTCGACCATATCAATTTATTTACTGGTTAATTTGTATAAGCTTAAAGGTATTATATTTAATTAAAATAATTTGTTCTATGAGTAATAGTCATTTTAGTTTATTTTAGACCAAAAATCCAGACAACATTTCAGCTGCATAAAATGGTCCAATTTCAATTCTGTAAAAAGATTCGAGTTCTTTGGCTACTTAAGTATGATATAAAAAATCTGTGTTCTACAAAACCTAGTTAAGTTATCAAAGAACTCGAATATATTTACAAAATTGAAATCAGAATATTTTAAGTAGTCTACATTTTGTCTGGCTTGAACGTAAAAAAAAAACAGACCGCATGCAATTTCCTTTATGAAAAATGTATGAAAAAATATTAAAATTATTAAATTGCTAATGTTATGATTTATGAAGCATGCATACTATTAAATACTAATATTTAATATTACTCAATTCGTATGTAGTTGAACATTTCAATAAAGAATATATTAATATATACATAAAACATTATTTCAGTTTGAATATTTGCACCTTGCTTTCAATTTCCGTTAATTTTAAAAGTTTAATAGAAAATAAAAATCATTCGAATAAAAAAAAACAGGATGAACGTGCCATTTAAAATGGGATTGTTTTATTTCCTACATAAACTAGTAAAGTTGCCCAAGTACTCGTATATCTTTACAGAATTGAAATCGGACCATCTTAACTCTTAAGTAGTCCAAATTTTGTCTTGGTTTTTGGTCTAAATAGTAAAAAAAACAAGCCGTACGTAATTCCCTTAATACTATTTAATAACAAAATAAAATATTATGGTTATGTACTTTTTCCTTTAGAAGGGTTTTTGGGGATCATATATTCATCTAAGATATCCCACCAATGCTGTGGTATAAATTGTTTTAACTGATCAATGGTAAAGGACGTAGCATTTACTTGATCTGTAATGTAATTGAAAAATCGTTGCGTTGCCTGAAACGTTTTTACACTTTTAATTTTCATAATCAGTTATACTTACATTTATATAAAATTAATTTTGGTACAAAATAGAATACATTATTATTATTATCATCTGATGGTTTTTTGGAACAATGTTCGTAAGATGTCTAAGGTTTAATTACAAGGAGCCTGATTATAATGTTAAATCTTCTACTTCTTGAAACTGGATGAACGTTTAACAAACAGTAACTGCCCGAAAAGGTAGTTTCTAATTTTTTTTTTTTTAATTACTGGAAGTGTCCTAACTTCAAAGAAAACTTTGCCTCTAACATACATTACTGAATACCACGACTCATTAGGATCTCAGTAAAACATATGTGATAAAACATTACGCATATTTCCCGACAAAATAGACAATTCGTAAATAATATTAAACGAGAATTCGTTGAAATACAATGTCCGACAATGCAAATATAAATTTTTTAATACATTTTTTTTGTTCCATCTATTATTTATTGCCCTATAACAACTTACCAACATGGTTCTAAGGTTTCGTTGCTTTATAATAAGGAAAATTTTAGTAAAATAATAAATATATTTTAGGTTAGCTCTTTTGGATATACAACTAATATAGATTTATTTACTATATTCAATTTCAAAATTAGTAGTACTTACCAGTATTTCCTTTCCAGTCAAATCGTCTGCTAAGGCCATTGGAAAAAAGTAAATTAAAAATAACAAAATAATATATTTTAAAGTCATTTTGTATCCCGTACGTTCTTATTATTATCAAAGTAATTATAGTAGACAAATAAAACTGTTATTCATTTTAGTAGTCGCTTTTATAGTAAACGCGCAATTCAATTTATTTTTTAGCATTAAAACAACATCTGTTATTTGTATACAACTTGACATTTGTTTTGTCTACTTTGCAAAATATTAATTAAATATTTAAATTTAACATACGTTTACCGTCTTGTAACAGCATAATATATTATACAGATCCGCCATATTTTCATGTTAACTTGAAGTTGAAATTGTATAATTTTAGACAAAAGGCATAATCATATAATATTAAAAAAAGCTTTTTAAAATTATTGATAAGATAATACAACTATATATGTACTGGCCTATCAGCAATACCTATGCGCATTGTACATTGTATGCACTACTCATCAACAAAAACATTTGACACTTTAGAAATATTATCATAATTTATTTTACATTATTAATTTTGTAACTACTGTATAATCTAACCTAGCCTTAAATTTATTCACACACAATATATTCATAATTAAATCTATTCAAACGAAACTTGGAGGTTTGGTATTTGTTAAATAACTAAATTCATACAGCGAACACAAAAGCGTGTCGCAAATTTTGGTTGTGTATCCAGTTAAAAAAACATATACATGAAAGATCTTTATTTGTGTTGAAAGCTATTGAGGTTTTGCTCGTTTCAGATTATGATCAAAATTAGAATGCATTTTGTTCGGCCAAAAATACGCAGATGTCTCTGACTCGCAGATATCTGCTTATTTTTGTATTCTTAGATAAACTTAATACCACAGAACTACACTTTGTCAAAATGCTTTTTACTTTATTGCGTCTCTTGAAATGTATAGAAAAGTTAGTTGCTTCACTATGATATTTAAATTCGATTTAAAACCATATGAGGTTGTACTTTTACGTTGTTTTATAAAACAAAAATTTAAATTAAATTAAAATAACCCCTATTATAAAAAAATCTCCAGAAATTAAAATGTTGGTAAATACACTTAAATAATTTAAATAATTATTACTTTAAAGTATGTTAAAATTGGTGATGGGAATTCGAAAATCCAAATTAAAAAAAAATGCTATTTAAGCCACTTAAATATTTTATAAATATTAAGTAATTCAAAATAGGATTTTTAGTAGTTTTGGTAAGAATAACATATAATATTGATTTTGTCTGTCTTTAAATGTTTTCAAATTTAAATAATTAAGAATATTTTCATGGTCAGATTAGAGGGGGGGGGGGTTTATAAGTTACTTTTAAAACAAAAAAATCGCAGAATACTATTTTGAAACTTTTTAATTTGATCACGATGACGTGATATTGTATATTTCCCATATAACAGAGGTGTATTCTTAATGGAGACAAATAATAGATGTGTATATACATTTCAAAATAAAAGGTCTTTAAAACTGAAGCAATTACGCTTGCTCAAAGAAAGTGCTTTTTTTTTGCAAGAATATAAAGATTTAATAAAAATATGTTTTTATTAAACCAAGTTGTTTAGTAAATTACCGCTTTCAAATAATGACTTTATAATAATAATAATAGGTTTTTTTATTAAACTAATAAGGCCTTTACTACAAAGGTCCTATTAACCGTATAAAGTATCTATTAACCGAAAATGGGGAGGTCACAAGTTAAATTTCGAATTTTACTGTTTCATTTCGAAAAAATTTAACTAAAAACAAAGAATTGTTTAGTAGTAGTACATTTTTTTAATTTAAATTGAAAAGCATTTTAATTTCAAATTATTTTTCAACACATTTTTGTGCGTTAAATTCCAATTTTGTAAAATTGTTTAAATGGTTGTGTATTGATATTGAGAAGTATTTTATGTGAGCTATTACATGTATGTTTTTCGCATCGATACAAAACTATAAAAATACTACACACAATATTTCAAGGTCTTTTATACACTAATGCAAATATAAGTACATAGACCATAATTAGGTGGGTATTTCATGTGTATAATTGTTACTTTTATGTTATTTTAAATCGATACTAATTTAAGGTAAATAAGTCGCAAAAAAAATATTACCAACTGTGTGTTGTTTACACACTTTGACATTTATTATAAAATACTAGCGCATTTCAAAATTCAGAGTAAAAAATAAAAATACATTATCAATTAAAACCCAAATTTGGTCAAAAAAACATCACCACGTCATAGCATTAATTCATATAATAGTTTTGAGTCAACAGGAAATTGTTTAATTACATTTTAAATATCTGATAAGTAGGTATGTCCTCAATTACTCCTTCTGTCCCTAGTCCAAATGGCGTCTAAAGATTATAAGCGCTATATTTAAACTAAACTCAAGTTAAGGCAGACGCAGTGTTATTGAAAAAATCACACCCATGTGACAATGATAAGGTTTCTTAAAAGATATCATTAGTTATTATAAATAATTAATGACTATCTGATGGAAGTATGAAAAAAAAGTTTTCAAGTATAATGTTTGGATGACACATATCTGTCGTCACCTGGTCGAATTGCCAACGTAATGCTTTTTTGTTACAATATCAAGAGGTACTTGTAGGTACAATACTAGAGAAACAATAACATGTATTTTAATAAAAACGATAAAACATTAGTAGTCATCTTTACAGGACAATCGCTTATCTACAACATAGCACTTTAAATATTACGGTATAAAATATTATAAACGTGCAACTTATATAACATTATATTGTTAAAACATGTCGCATTCAAAATTATTTTTCCTCTGAATAATTGCTTGTACTTAAGTAAGAATTAATTTTTACGCACGTTATACGCCACGATGAGTACTACAATAGCCATAGGATTTTATTTGTTACTGTCTCTTAATTTTTCTGAATCGTTAATTATTCAAAATCCAGTTGATGTAAAAGAAAATAATTCTTATAAGGTGAGTTTTTTTTTTTGCGTTTAATTTAATAATTGTTTAAACAGATAATACCCAGTATATAATCATTTTACTCAATAACGACATAAAACCACTGAATGCAGAATGTTAATAGATGTGCCAAATGAAAACCTCAGATTTATAAAATTAACTATTCTATTACATAGGATAACGACTGTTTAGTATTTTAATGTATTAATTTCAGTAATTTATGATAAGAATTTATAAGAAAAAAATAAATTTCAGGATGAAGGTTTATTCAGCGATCTTAATACGTTTGAAGGAAATTCCGTCGCACAATATAACTTTTTTCTACCCAAAAATTTTGATGCACGCAAAAAATGGCCGAGATGTCGTTCAATAGGCGCTGTTCGATTTCAGTCCAATTGCAATTCTGATTGGGTAAGTTTGAAATTAACAAATGTCAAATGCCAGTGTGGCGGTTTCAATTGTATTTAGTTTTTATATGCCGTATAGAGAGATATTCAAACAACTAAAAATGAATTTCAATAGTTAATTTTAGTAACAAATTAATGTGAATATTAAGCGTATAGGAACACATTTATTTATTTAATAAGGATATTTTTTTCAAAATTCAAGAAAACCTTTGTATGCAAAACATAAGCGTACTTATATCATCTATACACGATAGCTGCAAAATATGTCTTCGTAGGCTATTGCGGCTGCTGGAGCTTTTAGCGATAGACTGTGTATTACCAGTAAAGGTAAAACGACAGTCAACATATCGGTTGAACACATACTCACTTGCGCTATAAGAGACGGATGCAGAGGAGGAGAGACCAATAATGCTTGGGATTTCCTCGGGTACAACGGTGCCGTAACTGGAGGTGACTACAGATCATACGAGGTAACACGCTTTTACAATGCCGTTATATATATAAAAATGTTCTTTTATGATAATATTATGTTTAGGGGTGTCAACCGTATGAAATAGCACCTTGTGGATCTTCCGGTTATCCGAAATGTAATAAAACCATTGCAGACACGCCATGGTGCTATAGGTACTGTACAAATACCTACTATAGAAGGAGCTATGACGGCGATTTGTACAGGAGTAAGTTTAACACCTATAACACCACATTAAACCGTTTTCTATCCAATGTACAGAATTGACCGGTATTGTATTTTATTAGCTCGTGGACGTTATAAGACAATTTCGCCCAAAAACGAAAACGCCATTATGAATGAGATTTATTCCAACGGTTCGGTAGCAGCTGTATTTGATGGCTACAAAGACTTGTTTGATCACATTTCTGGTACGTCAAATTTCAACTCAACATTAAAAATACTTTTTAGTACGGCCATGACTTATTGTGTATTAATGCTATTTTTTTTTGTTTTCAGGGGTCTATGTTAGAAAGTCTAACGAGTTTATCGGACGGCATTCGGTGAAAATAATTGGCTGGGGTATTACAGGAAGACAATCTTACTGGCTGATGGTAAATTCTTGGGGTGAACGTTGGGCCGAACAGGGACTGTTCAAAATGGAGAGAGACACATTGAGTAATTTATTCGGAAGCATCACAGCAGGATATGCTTGATATATTTTGGTGTATTATAAATGTTATAATTATACAATTTACATAATCTATATAAATGTAAAACAAATTTTAATTTTAGAAATTATAGGTAATAGATTTTGTTTAATTTTTTTATTTAACATCTCGTGTTTAGGTTAAATGTTTAATGTTTTCCAAATACTCAATATCTATAATTCGATTATTCTAAAGTATCGCCTACATTAGCGACCCATAACATGAACGTGTTTCAGCAAAATGTTGCTCAGCAATCAATCTAATCTTCGAAATATGATGAAAATTTATTTTGTTTTGAGTATCCCACTCTATAAAAAAAAGTTTTATCAATTTTATAAATGTCCATTAAAACTAGTTAAAATGGCGGTGACTTTAAAATTGGTGGAATAATTTTAAAAATCAAGGTTCCTTATTTTAGGCCAAGACGAACCAACACGTCCACTGATTATCAGAAACCCACGGGGTGAAGCATGTTATATATACATATATATACAGGGTGATTTATTAATGATAAGACGCTTATTTTTCCTTAAAATAATAGCAATTTTGTAGTTTTTTTTTTTTGAAAATATGTTTGGTTCTCATATTTTACAATATTATAAAAATTGTAAATATTTATTTACCTTTTTTGGTATTTTCTCTCGATAGCCATATCTCTAAATACACGTAGTCATTGTCTGCAATCGTACGCACAAGGTTTTTTATATTATTAAAATGTACTGTTTGTTTTACGGATTGTTAAAGTCAGTAGTTGTAAAATAATAAAATATCTATGTGCGCAAATCGTATGTAAATAGTATATATATATATATATATTTATACTTAGCTTATAAGTTCATCTAAACACTAATTGAAACTAATAGAAACTCATAATACAGGATAATTTAGAAGCTTTTATGATGATGTCCATTGAAAAAGATAAATTGAATGAAGAAGATAACAAAGAAGTGAAAAAATGTATTTGGTTTATAAAATGACACCATGACAAAACTATTGTTGGTTTAATATTATTTTGTATATTATACATATATAAATAAATATTTTTTATAGAATGATGAAAGATGTTGTCATTTAATTGTTTTATATTAATCTAAGAATGTCGAGGGTTCTTTTTTAAGAAATACAATTTTACCTTTATTTTATATGAAATCCATTATGGAAACTAAGCTTAATTTTTCACACAACCTTTTACGCTATGTCTGAACTCTGATCTCTAAAATAAATTTAGGCGTTCGGTACCGGTGCGTTTTTCTGCCTACAAATATGCCTTACAGGAAAAGTGTTGACGCATTGTACAGTTACCACCGGATTTTGCCAATTATTCTTGTCCGAAAGAGAGACTTTCTACAGTCTCTTCAGGACTTTGGTTATCAAAATACAAATTATATATGTCGTAATAAAAATTTTAATATTATTAATTCAATAAAAAAATTTAACCGGATTTTGTTTATTTTGGTATTTGTAATAAAAAATTAAAGCTCTATGCGGATTGTAGGAAGTCTTTCTCTCAAAATGGCTCCATATCACATAAAAATGTACATTTAAAATGTACACACTAAATAAACAACATACCCGAGACGTGGGATAGTTTATAAGTAATAATTGGGCCAATCGTACAATTGCACAGGTGAATCAAGCAAGTTATCAAACAATCAAATATCAATTAAGCAACTAAATAAGTTAGTATTCAAGTAATCAATCATGTTTATTTAAAATAAAAGAAAAGAGGTATAATATTTATACTATCAGATAAGTAAATAAGTCATTTTACACAAAGAAAAATAATATATACATTTTTGTCTAAGCAAGGAGGTTATGAAAATAGAGATTAGACAAGCGATATTCAAGTGGTGGAAGCAATTATCATTTAAACTTATTTCAACAATTCATTTTTTTTTTGTAATTTATTAATTCGGAGATATAATATGATAGCGAAGACAACTTCCATTAGAATCAATGTAACACCCGGTTTTTTAATTTTTGAATAAAAAGTGGTGGAAGCAATAATTTTCATATGGAAATTGAAAATGTTCAAAATAATAACAGGAAATTCAAATTTGTATTGTTGCACTGTGATAACAAAATAATATACTCGTTAAGAAATACCAATTCGTTGACCTAAGTGTGTTTCATAAGATAATAGCGTCTCAATAATATTAAACAACAACCGTATATCTTTATTAAATGTAAACACAAATAGGCATAGCCGTCCAAATAATAGCGTTCAGCCAAGACATACCGATGGACGTCATCAATAAAACCCACGTGTTGATGATATAGTTTCGGGGATTCGGTCTGTGTTGATTTATAAGCTCAATTGTCGCTTCGTGAGAAGGTGGCTGCACATAGTCCAAGAAATCGTAAATAGTTTCACATGACATTCTACTTGATACCAATTCCACCATGTTTCCAGTCGGCTAAAACAAAAAATAATATTCTATTCATTCTTATACTAAAACTCTCTAGTAAATACAACGGGTGTTATACTATTTTAATTCCAAATAATAAAAGTCATATCAATCACAATCCTGTATTTTCACTGATCACACTCATGTGTTCAAGGGATATTACGATTTTATAGTCAAAGTCAGTGACATACTCGACAAAAAAATTTAGTACCACATAGATCAGTTAGAGTCGTGAACGTTAGGTCTCAATTTTTTCTTACACCACACTGAAAAAAAGATATAGAAAAGACAAAGGGTCATGGTACGGGTGTCTTACAGTGGCACTAGTCTTACATGATCTGCTGAATCACCAATTCCCTCCCAACCCTCAACTTAAAATTATAATATCCCTAGAACTTCACATTGTGTATATCTTCGTGGGACGAACTGAATACAAAAATACCACTATTTGTTCTTATTGCATACAATATCGGTGTATAATAGTATACAATAAAGTTAAAGTAATAATAAATTATTGTAATTAAAAAATGCCGAAAAGATAACTAATTTTACCACTATGATAGGATATGTTAGAATAGATTTTATAATTACCATTAGAAAGCTTTTTACTCGGTAGACGTATTGTTGACATGTCGCAACGTAGCCGTTTGTCAGTACAATGGACGCAATAGTCATATTGAGTGCCATCAAACCACAAAAAATAATAAAGCAAATCTTCGCGGACGATACCTGAGAACTAACATGATTTACATAATAATTAAATTTGAATAATTTCTAATGTTCAGGTTTAACAACTATGATAACATTTCAAATATTATTTTTATATTATATCGCTACCTACATTTCGGAGGAAATAAGAGAATATTATTATAAAAAAATACTATATTAACCACACGGGAAGTTACCCAAATGGCAAGATAGTAAGTCATCATTTCGAGATATTACTAATTACGTGAAGTTACTAGAGACACCAGTGCTAAAATTGGAAGACCAATAAAAAGCGGAAGAGGAATAAACAAATGTTGAGCGAGAATAAAAGAGCGGTGCGTAATCTAAATTAGAAAACTCTCACCTCTTAGGTTAGTCTTATTACTTATAGGAGGGGCATAATATGATACCTGTTAGCAACAGTGGAAACAAGTGTGATATGCTGAGTTTCGCGGATAACCTAGGTCCTATAAAGGAAAAAGGGTCCTTTAATGTAATGTTGGTACTTACTTAGTAGCCCATTTACGAAATTTCTTCAAGATAGCTAAAACAAAATGGGTTGGCACGTACAAATCGACGTGACAACAGCTTAAAGGCGCTAAGTTTTTTTACCGTTTTTTTCACTGAATATAGATCTCTACATTCAATATAAAATCCAATTTATCAGTGAATGGGGCCACTATCTGAATATCGACACTATTTTATACTTAAAAATATAAATGTTTTGTTTTATTATCATATCTTATTGATTTGAAGTAACTCATTAGATAACAGAAGTTTGTCATACACAAATTGACATAACTATAAATAATAAATGCGCAATAGGTATAGCGTTGCTATTTTACAACACAATGTACCGAGGAGATATAACCATCTTAATAATTATATAAATAACACGTTTATATAGCTACCTGTAATATTTGTGTCGGCATTCTATTAGGATCCTTAGCCAGATTAAGCACATAAAGTAGTAATTGATTTATTACTTTGTATTACGAATATAGAAAACAGTGCAAATCGGTAATTACTATTTTCAAGCCAGTATAATCCAAAACAAGCACAGTGTAATAGTCAACAAAGTTAGAATATATTAAATTGAATAGGTAATTTCAAAAACGACTTAGGTCACCGTTTTTTCAAAAATGTCTTTTTGTCAAATTTGATAATTATATACTTAGTTACGTATTCTGTGTGAAAACTAAATTTGTCAGACTCATATTTAATACAAATGTTGAGTACAAAACTGTCTCTTTTCTGTGTCGTTTCAAGAAATGTTATGCTTGAAGAAAAAATTATGGTTCATCAATTTTGGTCCAGCCATAAAAGCAACAATTACATAAGAAAGCCAAAGGAAATTTTTTTTGTTGGATATAAACCCTTAAAAGACAATTGCATGTACGCTACCGTGATAAGGACCGCATATATTGCAATTTTAAGATAATATACTGACCTCTTGGTATCTTCTGAAGTACGGGCTGTGACATATGGCCGAGTTCCGGTCGAGCACAGAAGCGCTAAACCGTAACAGGCGCAAGCGATAGCCGCGCATATAGTGGAAGCGACCAACGACCACCAGACATACCGGCACCGGTACTGCTCGCCGCCTACAAATGTGCCACCGGCGAAACTGGTACCATAAAGTATGCACTTGCAGTCGTGTACCGAGCAGTCAGCATCAAATTCAAAAAACCAGTACGACCAGACGGCTACAAAGCAGGCGGCGGCCACAGTAGCCGCACCGAAAGCGGAAGCGCACAAGCCCAACTTGACGGCCACGACGGTTTTCATAGTAATGCTTCAACATTAATCGTCACACACAGGCGCACCTATAATATGGGTCTTGTTATCTTTAAGTATATTTACAATATTGTTATTATTATTACTATTGCCGGTGTTTACAAAATAATTAAACGCACACAAGAAAAAAAGGTTGAATAATGATAAAGTTATTACATAATATTAATACACTGTAATACGTCACGACGTGAAAACCAGTTATTTTATCTTATTATCTGTAGTTCTCTACTCTCTAGAATCGTCTGTATACAGTGTTGAAAAGTAATTTTTTTTTATAGATATTGTACTCTTCAAGTAAAACTACGGTTTAAAAGCAAACCAGTACTAACGAATTTCCCAGTAGGGTAGCGAGCAACAGAATATCACCTCAAAAATGTTTAATTTTTGATTTTGCGATTCAATAGTGGGGTCGGAAAAGTCACAGGATCTTAGGTTAATATTATTACTGAGAATAATTAAAATCACAAATCAATGCTACAATGAAAATTTGCTCTGCTTTAATGCTATAATATATACACATAAATAACGTTTATAATTGCAAATAAAATTATTGCATATTTATTTAAATTCAAATTAAATTACATATTTCTAAAATAATTCGATGCAGTTTGATTAAAAACATGATTAAAACAAGTTATAGTCTCGTAACATTATACAACAGTCAGAATGCAACTTAAGGTTTATTGCATTTTTTGAAAAATTAAAAAAATATACATGCAAGTTTACGTGTATTATTTATTTATATTGTATAACAAACTATAAAAAAGGTAGTTAACATGTTACTTAAAAGGCATTTTCAACAAAATAAATAATTTGGATAAAAAGTTTAAAATTTAATCTCTATTATATTAAATTAACAAAAATATTTTGTTATGCAAATTTAAAGTGTAACCTTTCAGCTATTTTTTTACTTCTAATTTTTTCAATAAATCATGAAATAAAGACATTTTTAGTTTTTGGTCATTTACAGTTGATTTACAAAAATCTACACTCATATTCTCAGGATATAATTACATTTTTACTGTTAATGATTTTATACTGTATTTTTAAAAACATTATTATTTAATGTATAGTTTTACAATACTATACAATTTTTAAATATTTATGATAATTTTTTAGAGCATAATCCACTTATGAAAATGAAAAATAATATATTTCTATGTTGTATTAGCTTTCCAAACTAATGTTATATTGCTTAACAGTTAAATTATTGAATTTTAAAACAAACATTTTTCAATTTATAAAATAATCCACACTAATCAAAGAGTATTAAATGTCTATACATGTAGTTTATTCTGAATATCCAATTATACGGGTAGTGTTTGATGTCAAATCTAATATGAACCCATGAGCAGTGTAACATGATTCTACATAATCGTTTATTATTTTTTTTAAATCTTCTTCTATACGATTTATTGTGTGACCATTAGTGTTTATTGATTCCTTAACCTTAATAAAACGTCCTGGAAAGCAACTTCTTGTATAGAATACATCCAAGCGTTGTATGATTTCATCCAAGTATGTACATACCGATGACCAGTAATTCAAAGATTTTACAAAGTGAAGTATCTCATGCTGTCCTTCAAAAAGTTCTACGTCGTAATAAGCCTTGTAATCATCTAAAATGTTGTAAATATCTTGGTGATACACCATGTATAGTGATACATCGTATAAAAACGACAGAGCACTTTGCATACGTCGAATTAACCGATCGCTGTGTTTGATGTCAATGCAGAATTTGTCCCAGCATTCATTTGAAGCATCAACATTATTTATACGTCGGCAATGAGACCACACATCACTTATAAATTCACAGCACTTCTTCAATACTAAAACATACTTACAGCTTAAAGCTATATGAACATGATGAATTTTAACATTTACATTTTCTTTGGTTACTATCATTCCATTTGCACTAGTCTCAGTTATTTGTTCAACTCCTATATACTCACGGTCTGGTAGGACAATGTACAGCAATGGAGGATAAAATGCTGACCACGGGGGGATACTCTAGAAGTACGTTCATTTGATTAACCTTTCTTATCGTGACTGGATCGTATATTATTTGAGTAGTAGACGATTTATAATCGTATTTAAAGCCGAAGGAATTGTCGAATGACACTATAAACACATCCATTATTTCATCTACTCTTCTTTTAAACGCTAACATTATAGCTGGAAAAGGTGTGCCGGGTTGTGCGATACTATTTATAGTGTCAGAAGTGCCGTGAACCGTTTCACTGATTGGATCGGAGCAACAAAAATTATCAAAGAATATGCTTAAGCGGTGCTCAATATTCAAAATGTTTTCTTCTATATCCAGAATCATATCATTCATACGGGCGTTAGCAATTTTTTTTTTTTTTAACTGTGTAGTAAGTCTTGAAGTCTACCAGGATTGTCGGTATGTCCTTATTGTACAATATTTGTGGATTCAATTGGTACAAACAAGAAAGTGCGCCCTCCATACGAAGTAGTATTGCATCTGTTTCTACGACTTTCTCTATGAAATCACCCAAACATACCTTCTTATGTGATGGATTATCTCTACTTTTGCAATAGGTCCCAATATCTCTTAAGGTTTCGCAGTACTTTTTGAACACTTTAGCATACTTGCCTGTGTGGTTCCGGGGTTAGAATAGGTCCACAGTAACTCCTGCTTATCGTAAGAGGCGATTAAAAGGAGGTAACGGAGGGAAGCAGCTACGTTACTATCAACCATTGGCGATTTCTGTAGCAGAAATAACGGTAATGGAAGGACATGGTAGAGGCAGCTTGGAAATACTTCAAGTACTGGCTCACCAACTGCGATGCAGCAAGCAAGAGGGAAACTACTGCATTAGAGATCCCTAACCTAAATAGCCAATGATGTGTCCCAACAAGTTATTTCCATGATATAAAGGAAAAGATGGGCTGCGCATCCTACCAACAACTAAAGGAAGCAGCAAAAGACAGACACATATGGCTAACTCGACAAGGCGTTACCTTTAGAACATGATGAGCATACTTGCAGCTCAATAACTGATGAGCTAGTCGAATTTTGAATTCCACATTTTCTTGGGTTACGACTTTTCCGTTAGGACATATATTGCATATCTTTTACATTAAAACGTTGTCCCGTTTCCAAACTTCGCTCTTTAATCTCCAAGTGATTATCCTCATCTAAGTCAAGCCATCCGGAATGGGTTAGTAGCTCGTTCATCGTACCGACCGGATTTGTTGTTATCAAATCTAATAACATAACGAGAGTGTAAACCGGTAAAAAATATAGATGACCAGCTTGCATGTTTTTAATTTATTACTGCGGTTATTAAAATCTACCAAGTATTGTTTTGGATAAAACTCGTTTAAAGAATTATTGCTCCTGTTACTATGAAATACTCAAAACGACTAACACTCTTGCCACGTACAATTTTGTAAAATACTACTTTACCTTTAAATCATTATTACACATATATATATATATATATATATATATATATATATATATATATATATATATACAGATTACAATATATTGCCGCACGTATTGCCATCCGCTAGTCTATCCGTACTAATAATTTTTTTTTTCGTGTTACTAACACAAAAAATAACAATACTTTTAAAATTATTCACCAAAGTATGGTAGATTTAAACAGAAATCGCGTATCAAAACCTGAAATTTAGACAACACATAATGTCGGCTGTGCTCACTTTTTTGTTTGTAATAGTATAGTTTGACATTTACTATTTGCAATGTAAAATATTTTCTTCTAAGTTTTCGGTTGTTTGTACGGATGACAGAAACTTTAGTTTTGTAAAAAGAAAATAAAGTTAGCACATAGGAACTAGCACATAGCAACGTTTTCATGCAATATTATCAATGCAGTAGTCTACAATTTTACTGTAAACCACTAAATGCATACTGGAATTAGTACAGAGCTCTTCCACTACTTGAAATTATATATATTTATATTCAGGGTGATATTTTATCGTGAGCCACTCGATATCTCATTTTTATATTTTTAGCCCCCTTCCAAACTAATTATTTTTATATCAACTTTTGAAACGTCAATGGCAACATGTACAGGGTATCCCACATAGACCTGATAAATTAAATAACTTTTATTTTAGTGAATATTTTAAAGACTTTTTTTGTAAATTAACTTATACTCATTTGCGCTATAAACACCATGATTTGTATAACTCTTAACTGTTTTATTTTTTTAAATAATTTTTTATACTTTTGTTATATTTAAAAAAAAGATGGTTTAGAGGCAATTTGGATGAAAACTATCGACTACCTGGGACAAGATGCAACTAATACATTTTAACCCAAAATGTTCCAATAATAATAATAATAAGAAGAAGAAATAAAGGTCATCAGAGGGCATTCAGTTATTCTTGGGAAGCAACTAGTACATCATTTTAACGATTACCCCAGTTAGGCAACTAGCATGCACTGTTCAAATCGCTCAATCGATTTCTTTCTTGGAACGACTCTATAAATCAGAAATCATACCTAATTGTACCTATTACCTAATGACAATCATTTGCTTCAAAATTTGTTTTTAATATAAGAGTGGATACGAATAGGGTTGATTGTTTGTCTAAAAAATATGTTGTCATCGTTACCCATATATTTTAATTATAAATATAATGAAAATATTTTCATTATCTGGTAACTGCTGATTCACTCATACATAGCAACCTGAAAATTGACTATGGTCAAAGTGTAATTTTTCCCTTTTTTGGGTTTTTTGTTATTAATAAAATAACTTGACTATAGATTTTTGAAAAAGTTGTGTGTTATAGTATTGTTTTAGATATACCTATGGTCTAATTTTCAAACCTAAATCCTATAACTTTACTTAAAAAAAAGAAATAAAGAAAAATGTTCATCTCTTCTAGGGAAAAGGACTTCAGAAATTTGTTTGATTTATTATCGTTTATTGGTTCTTTAACTATGTTTAAAGAATATGTCATACAATTTTGGATTTTTTTAAACGACTTCAAACGAGTTTTAATTTTAAGTTAAAAATATTTTGGAGGTTTTTCTAGAATTTAAAGAAGAAGGGGTAAACTTTTTTAATTTTTGGCCCAATAAAGTGTCTTTTAGGTACGATATCTAATCTATAGATTTGTTACACAAAGAAATCGGTGCAGCAGTTTAAAAGATATCATGGGTCCAGACACAAAAACAAAAAATAAAAACACACCATTGTAAATAAAGTCTCCAACAAAAACCTAATAGTGAAAAAGGGCCAAGGTCTAGACCCCCTCCCGATAAACGACAAAATTACGAAAACATTATGTTTGATAAGTATTTATAAATTAATTAAAAACAAATACTTATTAACGTATTGTAACACTGTTTAAAAGAAAATATTTGTTTCGACGACGCGGGAATCTGTGATTAATTAACAAAAACCCGTGCTAATGCGCACCACTTCATATATTTAGAACTACACTCCCTAAAGCGATATTAATTTTGAAAAAATTTCAACTTTCAGATTTTTCTCTTTAGTTACACTATAAAACCTAACTTTATGCTAAATTCCCCGTTTCTACCTATACGGAAAGTGTTTTATAATTTTGATAATGAGTGAGTGAGTCAGTCAGTCAGTGAGTAAGTAACAAAAATGAAAACTTTGAAGTTCTCCCCTTTTGAAGAACTGTTATGACATCGACAAATTGTTTTAAAAAAATGTCCAATGATTTTGAAGACATTTGAAATTGCACCCTGCTGAAAAACTGTACTATACACGATAAGTGCGGTGTCCACCACAGTGTAACGCGTTGCTTGGCGACCGACGGTACAACAGACACGCGGTGAAACAAGTGAGCCCTTTGTGTGTCAGTCGAATGCCGACAACAGTAATATTGGCTACAACGGTTGAAATACACACCGATAACGCAATGTAAGTACAACATGCCTATGTAAATTAAAAAAAAAAAGAACTAAAACAATGGTTGGCGAACATTTTTTTTAAATTTTCAACTCGAGAACGATTTGTTTAACGTTTCAAAATATTTATGACACATTAAAAATTTGTTTATTCTTCAAAACATGTTCAAAACGACCGTTTTATACAGAATCCTTTGACCATCTCAACGCTAATTCTATAATAAAGACAATTGGTGTAAAATGTAAAATTGTCACAGGAATTCCACGTGGATCGATGTGGACATAAATCCTTCGATCAATTTGCAGACTTTCAATTGTTGCACGGCTTTGGTAGACGTCCACGGTGATCGCGATAACAAGTTCGCCGTCGTTGATTTCGGATCAGGCACGTCCAACCCTCAGCTAAGAGTATAAACATCAACAATGATTATTAATATCCAGCTTATATCGTTTGTTTTTTAATTTTTTTAAAGTCCATCCCATGAATGTGCTATGTGTTTAGGTGTTCAAGGGACTTAATCAATCTCACGTGATCTTCTTGAACGACAAACCATCGGCCATCATCGTCGTATACACAGACTACAGTGAACACCATGTACCATGTGAGTGTACTATTATGTTATTAACAATATAGTGATTTTCAAAAGCCACAGCAACTCTAGGTAATTTTAGTACTATATTTTTACTTGACAAAAGCCATTTGTACGTTCATACTATTATTGCGATTCGAATGAGTGTTTAACAGAATTTTGTTTAATCTGTTGGTGTCTCTTGTTAAATATAATAGAAACGCCAAACGGGCATACCACGATTCTAGTCCAACCGCTAAGATTTAAGAACCATACACCTAGCTTATGATTATGCTCACAAGCAGATTACCATCCGATTGTGTTGTAGACAATATGGAATTAGTAAGCGATATGATGATTTGTTTTGCTATCGTTCATAAAAATATAATTATTATTTCAAAACCATCGGTACACGTGCGAATAGATTAACGTAATCTAACCTAACCCAACCGAAGAGGTGGTATTTTTTTTATAACTCAAATTTAATTTTTACACCTTCTTTCCGCCTAACTGGTTGTAAGTTGTACGTACCTATATATCTTCAAATAATACTCATACATTGATTTTATAGGTATAGCTGTAGTGATAAAAAACGAAATATACTTTTACCGAAACTGCAAGCCATATCACAAGTACACAGTCCAGCCGACGGTTGTCAATGATGACGTAGAGAAGAGGATATGGCGGGAAGCCAAAGAATCGGCCGATTTGCTGAAGAATTTGCGGGTATTGGCCAATACCGTGGGTTTTGCAAGTCTATCGACCACGTCACAACATGCATTGTGTTGTGATGAATATGAAGTGGACGTGTTTTTTGAAAAATATAAAAATCAAAAACTAGTCAAACAAGTAAGTTGACATAAAATAAAATGTTGTAGACCGATAGCGCGATTGTTTGAGCATTTATTAAGTAGCTACTTTATTCGGCATATTGCATAATACATTTATTACCTATTGAATCATTATGAATCCTTAAAGTCCTCAAAATCAAGTATAAAAAATTAATGAAAAAACAATCAACGGTGTAAATACAATAATTATCTTAACGTTAAGTCAATAATAACATTTGTTAATATATAAGGAAATATTGTTAATTTCTAAGCCTTAACATTTAGTTCAGTGATGTTAAAAACACAATAATAAATAACTACTAATTAGTTAACACTATTTACATATTTTTCGGTTACTCCCACTTGAACAGATTGACTTGTGTGCCAAATTTGTATTTAGTCTGTACAGGGTGTACAGGCACACACGTTACAAGCACAGCCCTGAGGATGGAACGTGCATGTATTCCGAAACGTTGACAGACAAGTGGCAATCTGTTCAAGTGGGAGAACCCGAAAAATATGTAAATAGTGTAATTCAAGTTTCAATAATTTTATTATAATTAGTGTTATCATCTTTAGTTAATAATATTTATGCATGCATATTTAACTGGCTATAACATCGATCACTAAACTGTAACGCATCACTAATATTTTTATTTTATAAATAAAATTTAGGTTGCTATTTGACTTTTAAAATTACCTGAAAGCTAAAATCATATTGACTTTAAGCAGATCTAAAGTAGGGCTATAACAAATTATACGGATTTTCTAAAAATATGTAGTCAAATTTTTGTTTATAAAAAAAATCCCCCCCCCCAAAAAAAAGGGAGGAAATTGCACTTTAGCTATTTTAAATTTCTAGGTTGCTATAGATCCGGTTTACCCAATTTTACGGTCTAGTCAAATATCAAATTTTGCTACTCCCCTCCTCTACCCGTTATACCAATTTCCATTGATAATCTGTTTAATGTTGTGTAGCCTAACATTACGTGCATTGCCGAATTGAAAAGAAAAACGAACGAGCCGAACGGAGTCAGCTGTCTCGTGATAGCTACCACTGACAAGATCACTATAATGGATACGGAGTCCTTTAAGATTTTGTCGGATAAATACGAGGTAAATATACAAGACCATCGCGTTAACACAGGGTTTTCGAAACTGCGTTGTACGCAACTATTAGTGAGATGGTAATCCGACAAACTTATAGAACTTATCATATCTAACATGGGCCAACGCCACTTAGAAGTTTATCAAATGCACTCTATCCTCTATCCAGAAAACAGTTAACTATAAACAAATTTAAGTCACGTGATAAACTGCACTTACAAAGTGTAAAATATTAAAAACAGGTGATTGATGTTTGTCGGCTGTGGCCACCACTTATTCTAATAGCATGCAGGCGTATCTTTTTTGGTTATAACTTATACAGTAAGTCGACAATAGACATTGGGTCTCGGGTTATAATGCGATCCTCCAGCGTGGTTCCTATTAGAATTTACTTATAATGGTTTGGTAAAACATTATTATTACATTTGTTGTACAGCTGCAAGGTGAAACCGTGTACTTGGCTACCGTGGGGCTATACGACGTTGACTACAAAATACTAGTGGCTACCAGGACGGGTAGGCTGTACATTTTCTCAAAATCCTCGACCAGCGGATACAAAGTGGAAATGACTCATGCAATCGTGGCCGTGGTACTCCGGGTGGACAAGTTCGTGTGTTGTACAGTCGACGGCCTGCTCCAGTGTTACACATTGAAAGTAAGACCACTCTCTTTATGTGAATAAACCAACGTGTACTTTAATCGAATCGAAAATGGTCAAACAAAAATATAAAACTATTGACAAACATTTTTTACATCATACAGTGTGCATCGTTATGGAACGTCGAACTGCCGGGAGATCCGACAGCCATGGTGAATATGTACGTGCAGAGCATGTCCCTAGAACTAACGGTAGTGGCATGCACAGTGACAAATGTAGATGGGCACATCAAGGGATCGATACTGGTGTACTCGGGATCGACGGTGGTGCACAAAATAACGATGCCCGATCCGATTTACTGCGTTACGTTTGGCAAGTTTGGCCAAGAAGAAAATGCGTTGCTAATGATTTCCTCTAGTAAGTACATAAGCTAACGGTGTCAAACGAAAAACCAAAGCCAATAAAGTAATAATTAGGCAACGATTAGTAATTATGATTATATTTGTTTAAGTCACGATAAAAACAAAAAAAAACGTAAATTATCTTTAACTAAAGTTTATGTAATATTATTTTGTCTATTGTATGGTAATTATTGTTATGATCTATCGGTAACACTTATTCGGAATCATCAGGTGGGATGAGGAGGGGGGAGGGTGAGTTATTTCTGATATGGATAATTTATATACCTACTTTGTTGTTTTTTAACTGGGCTGACAGAAGGCAAATTGGACGTTAAGCTGTTGAAGCGCACTGCTACTTTCGACTTATGCCCCCGGACGACTGTCATTGCGCGACCTTCGATCACTCTAAACATACCCAAAAGAAGTAATGTGTTTATCGAACAAACTTTACGCGAAAGAGAATGTTTTAACGGTAAGTGCTACAACATTTCGATCAAAATCTCTACCTTCTAAATTTGGCACATAATTTTATCTATCGGCTAAGAATATTTTGATAACTTGTTCGTACAGAAATGCACGTTCGAACCCAACAATCGTGGCGAAAATTCCAAATCAAGTTGCTAAGCGAACGAATAAACTCCATCAAACAAAAAATTACCAATCAGTTCTTACACACATCTGTTCAAGTAAAAAAAAACCTATAATTTATTTATTTATAATGTTTACGCTCAAAAATTATCTCCTGTACATTTGCACATAACCAAAAAACCTAGTGTAGAAGTTACGGAGCAAGTTTAATTGCGTAGGTCGTAGTTCTTAAGGTAAAACTATTATATCTGTAAGTGATAGAATTATTCCATTGAGTGGGAAAATGGATCACATAAATTTAAAATTGTTGCACTTATACAAATAGTATTTAATTGCACAACTATAATTTGTCGTTGTTTTCAAAGAGAAATTTACTGTAATGTTAATCGTAATTTGTACAATTTTAAATATAAAACACCATTAAAAATAATTTACAGAGTGATGAGTGATCATCTACTTATGTTTTAAATCTTAAAATAATATTTTCATACCTATATACTGTTATAACAGTATAAAAAAAATATTTCCAAATGCCAGTTGACTCATTCACACTTGAAAATCTAGCAATTTACTAAAAAAAGTTTGACTTGAAATGTTTAAGAAAATTGTGTGTTATAAGGTCACATTAGATTTACAATTAAACATTTTTTTATGTCCAGGAGGGTAGAAAATATATTTACTTAAGAACTATTTATTATATTTAATGATCAAAATTCATTTTAGTGTTCATATGGAAAACAAATTTTCAAAATGTATATTTAGAAATTAACTTTTAAAAACGGTCTTATGGGAGTACAAAAGATTAAGTGATACTAACTAGAGAAGTAATTATTAAAACCTAGTTATCAACCAGTCATAAATTGTATTACAATAAACGGATTGGTTGCTGTTTGACTTTTAAAAGTAATCCTCTAAAACAAACCCTTAAAATAATATTGTAAATTTGAACATCTCGATGACAAAAATTTACATTTGTAGGGTATTCAACTCGATTTTGAGAAGATAATAGTAAATTTGTGGCCTTATTAAGAACCTTTTGGGTACGATTTCTGATCTATAATAGAAATCGGTCCAGTGGTTAAAAAATAACTGTAAGTCCAGATTAAAATAAAAAAGAAATTATATTGTTCAAGTTCATTGCAAATATCTGGTAGTCGATAACCAATTGGTGCAGCTTGACCGTATTATGTAGGATGGGAATTCATATAAAAAAAGTTAGTCTAAAATTTAATTGAGGGTAAAATTATTTTAACTTTAAAGATATTAAACATACATCAAATCTCTTGCGTCCATCCATCGGAGGATTAATGCACGAGAATAATTCATTTGCTATACTTCACTAGAAAAGTAGAAAGAGAACAATTAATATTGTAATTATTATTATTTTATGTTTTGTAAACTATACATTTTGAAATATGTATGAACTCGTTTCTTTTTAAATTACGTCAAACTTATTAATTCAATTTTGATTAGCTTTTAGGTTTAGGACCACGTTTCAAAATTCGTTTCAATTTGAAAAATCTAGGTGATAAGTATCTCGACGGTGTGGACGTAGCATTTTTGTATAACCCGCAGTTTTATATTGTCGAAACTGCTTGCTGCAAAGTAAGTGCTAAAGAAGATACAAATAACTATAATTTTTTTTTGTTATTGATATATTTGCCCAGTACACGTGCAATACAACTCTAAATTTATTGCTAATAGTCAATAGGAAATGTACGAATTAAAGCACATTTAACATTTTATGTGCGTCATCGTGGTTTATTATTTTACTTGAAAAGTCAAACGTTTGGTGGACCACTCTAAAGCCTCTTGGAATAAGTCATTTAAGTTCCATTAAATACTGTTTAGACTGTAATATTATAGCAAGTACTTGCAAAGTATAGGACTCGAATAAATCATGTAAACTGAATCAGTAAGTCGCTGTTGGTGTCAGTGATTTTACTGTATTGCGCGTGCGCTGGCAAGAACGTAGAAATGAAGTAAAGGTCCCTTGAGAAAAATGATTTTGTGACAATTCGTTTAAAACTTATTTGAATTTTAGTTGCCGGTAATTATTCCGGACAAGGAAGTGTCTTGCGAGACTTTCATCACTTGCTGCGCGTACGGTGGCACGGAAGAACGAGCTATCGACATTGTAGTAAACCGGTCGACGACCATACTGTACCGAGCCAAACTCAACATGCCAGTTTGTGAGTAAAGACAAAAATGTATTACAATACAAAAAAAAATAAAACTCTAAGGATAAGTATTCCAATATGTGGCCAACTCGTATTGGAGAGTGGTACTGCTCCTCAAGTCGAGACATCAAATCTGTATGATCTATTTGCCAGTACAGGGGAACTTATTGTTGTTAGAAGCGGTTAACAAATTAAAATATACAAATAATATTTTCATTCATTTTACAATACTCTAGCTTCAGTGTTTTAACAACACTTTTATAATAATAATCAAGTAAAACATTTATTCAACCTAGTCACTGTGGTCAAAATGTTATTTATTTTGCATAAATGCGCCAGAAAAAAAACATGTTGCCGAATATTTTTGAATATAATAAAAAAAATATGTGTATCCCAAGTTAAACGGCGACTTCTCTCGTGTTAATATACAATATTATTGATTCCTAGATAATCAGCTTAGCGTCAATGAAGATATTATAAACAATAGTTTGCAGTGAAAGCCGTCAGCGTTGAACTGTGCGGACGTCAAGTCGAATACAATTACATTTGAAAATAAATATTATAAATTTTTTTCCATAAGTATGAGCCTTGGAATGACGTCAAAGAGGTCGAACGGGAAATTGAAAAATTGCACTGTGCATTGAAATAGCGACAAATCCAGCCATAGTAATACCAATGCAATCGGCCAGTGAAGTCATGGACATAGCGAATTCCCGTCGTTCTCTTGGAACCTATTTAACATCAAGTGCATATTGTTTTAGCGGTTATTTTTATTATATTACATTACAATTTTTTTTAATATCAACGACAATATATTGTAAATTAATTTGTTATACCTTTTTAATTATGTTGTCAAATGAATTGACGTAACCTGATCCTTTTATTTATGCTTAAAGAATAAATTATGGTTCATCAATTTTGGTCCGGCCGTAAGAACAAGAATTGTATATGGAAACCAAGGGAAATACAGTGTATCTAGTGTACAGAAGTCTTACACACACAATTATTGTGAACATCAATATGTTTTACACGGTTCAGCGATTAAATTATGTAAGGCATCACATCAGTCTGTAGTTTTGAAAAATAATTTACCTATATCAATTGAAATTGTAATTTTCAAGTAAAAACTCTGGTTTAAAACCAAAACAGTACTAACAAAATTACCAATAGCGCAGCGAGCAACAAAATATCACCTCAAATATATAGAGTTATTTTTTTAAAATAGTTTGGTCAGAACATAGTGAGGTCAGTTTTGTGATAATTAGGTTTATCACTTTAATGTGTAAATAATAAGTTTTGAATTTATGTTGGTTATTTCTAAAAAAAATCATTACAATTGTATTCAAATTATCAACAACAACTTAGTAAACAAATACAATTTAGTATTTTCTTATATAAAATTTAAAATGTTTTCTAACTTTCATTTAAAATTTTAATATTTTTACTTCTATAAAAACCGTCGTGTTGATAACATCTAGATAATTATTTTTTATTCAAAAAACTGTTAATATCATAATTTATGTGGATTACTGCATATAATAACTTTTGGAAATAAATCTGTACAAAAGAAAGGGAGGTTTTTGCCCGTAATTGGTCATGGTCTGTTGTATGCTCTGATGATGGTAACATTACTGCCGAAGTACGTATATGCTATAGAGAATTATTTTTGCCATTAATGGTTTATTTCAATGTTTAAATTATAGCATAATATGTTGTATTTTAACTTGTCAATAAAAAAAAATACTTAAAATCAAATTTCGCATATCACTTGACTAATAAAATATATTTATTATGGTATGCAACATCCAAAACTGATGGAACTCAGGAGAAGAAAGCTGAAGAAGAAGAAAAATAAATTAAAATTGTAACAATCCGGTTTATTTAGGAATACGAAATTTAACAAATCGGTATACGTTAACAAGAGTGCTTAAAAGGCAAAATGAATGTGAAATTAATACTTGATCAAATAAAAAACATGAGTTCTAAAAAAAAATCATAATAAAATTAGATTTCATCATTTTTTAAACTTAATTTATTATATCTTTCGAGGACTGGTAATTTCTCGTCAACGTTTGGGATGAATCCCATTTTGTCGTTTATATCTCTGCAAAATATTTTATTGTTAAGAAGTCCTGATGAATCTGATTCTTTGATGATTTTTATGACAGGTGGAGAATTACAGTACTAAAAAATACAGCAAAATATTTTAAGATATTTATAAATAGTAATGTAAAATATGTGATTTGTTTAATAGTTATAAATATAATTTTTAACTTACTTCATAAATGATTGATGATTCATAGTTGTATAGCCTGTTAAACTTAAATATTTGTACTCTTGCTTCCAATTTATAAGGTAGTGGTTCTGAATTTACTAATGTTTTTAGTAGTGACAATGTTGTATTTAGTGCTTTTATAATTGTGTTTTCTTTAACATTGTTATATGGTGGCTCGTTCAAAAAATATGATTTATAATCATTAATATTCAATGGTGATGTGGCATTAGTCTGTAAGCAATTATTTATACATTTTAGATTAGACTTATATAATCGACTGTATTAGACTTGTATAAAGCAATTTAATTTATCAACTTTTTAGTCACAGTTTTTAATGCAATAGTATTACTGATTATTTTATATATTTTTTGTAAGCTTATTAAAAGTATTTTGTTTTAACAAATAACCAGAAGTTACCTATATTGTCTTAAGCCAATACCAGGCTAACAGATTTAGTTTTGATGTAGGTATTCTTCTGTTACCCAATAAATAAGTTACAATAACTTGATGTTACCAAGAAAATAAAAATTTGATCAAACAGGCCTACAATTTATATGATTTGATTTATGGGTTTTAAATAAAATACATATATCAAAATCATTGCCTAAAGTAAAAAATTACACTAGCATTAGGTATTTTTCACAGTAAACCATATGGAGATTTATGACAAACGTAGGAAATAGTTTTCTGATAAATCTGTTGTTTGATTTCCATTATAACTTATTTCAAATTATTGCCTAAAATAATAAATTTAATTATTTTAAGGTATTCTACATGGTATACACCAAATGAACATTTATTTGTTTTTAAAAACTGAATAAAACATGTAATTAATACCTTAATCAAATGCAATAAATATTTTTTTTCTAGAATATCTTTATTAAGTGGATTAGAAATGATCTCATTTGCCCATCCATAAACAGTATCTGGATCTCCTTCTAGTAAACACACGGAGACTAATATTCCTTGAGCTTCTAAAATCTGAGCCATTTTCAAAGCAATGATTCCGCCCCATGATTCTCCGATCAATGAAACCATACTGTGATTACAAATTCTTTTCAATTTCTAAATAAAGAATGACTCATTAAATGATGTTTGTAAACTCGAGTTAGATATTGGTAAAGATATAGTTATATATTTACTGTAACGAGAGATTGAGCAAGGTCGTTAATTGAACTAATTTGTTTTGGAATCCGTGCTTCAAATGTAGGATAATACAGTTTTGTATACAAAAATTCAATAGCTTTTGATTTAAACCCCGGTATCATGAACACTGGCACCACTCCTTTAACCTGCGAGTATCTTGGGCTCTTGGTCTGCTTTTCTATAAAGTCTGCTTCGTAGTTCAATTTATTGACAAATTCAAGTAACTCATCAACGGAATCGGGCATTTCGCATAAACTATTACTATTATTTAAGTCACCTATAAAATACGGATAACGTACATTTTAAAACGATATAAATTCAAGATGAAGTTAAATGTCAATTGAAGGAAAATTAAATATTGACGACTATTACCTTCCAACTGATCAGTATTTTCTTTAACAAATGTAAAAGTTTCGGAACTGATGTCTTGAACTTTTATGAGTAGTGAATCCAACGTTGACAACAATGACGGAATAAACTGATGTTTTTTTGCCATTGCACTCCATTGCATATTCAAAGCGTTCAATCGTTTCGATTTTAGTGCTGAACATACGTGCTCACTTTTACAAGAAATACATACAAATATAGCTGATTTAGATTTATTGATCAACCTCTCAAAAGCATAACCAAACTGACTTAATTTTTCAGCGTCATTCTATAACATACAATTTTCAATTGATATTCAGTGTAATTCTATACTAGTTGGCTATTTTACTTGGTCGATTAAGAATATTCCTCCAAATTGATTTGATGATGTCAAACGATTAAACCAATTCAAAGCGTCTTCTTTTGACGTTATTGAAATATTGGACTCTATGTGTATTGCTACGTGCTTTGATAAAAGTTGGTTAAATCTAAAAATAAAAATGTTACCCTTAAATATGAACCAATACTTTAGAGGAACTTTAGATTTAATGATACGATGTATTATGATACCTTCTACACCCCGACGGAGGCAATACATATTTGTTTAACATTATTGTGATTTTTCGTGCTCCCCTGTTAACCAACCATTCAGCTACGTCCAACCATTCATTTGTATTACCTATTGAGATACAACACAATGTTTAATGCAATGACAACATGTGGTTCATATTGTATTACTGTACCTATAACAACATATACTCGATCGAGTTGACATTGATACAAACCACCTGTCGCACACTCAATAAAACCTGATTTTATATCGTTGTCGTTTAAAGGTAGAATGAGTTTTTTCGGATATGTAGAACTATTTCGGTTTTTAATTATGATTTTTAATAATTGACACATTTAATAAAATTATTAATAGTAACAGCAAATTTAATTACTTCAAGTTATCAAATAATTTTTCACTGTTCAAAGGCATATTTACAACGCTTCCATTTAGTGATAGAATTACGCCCTGGTCGAGACCTTTCGCAAATGCATTTTGAACAATAAGTTTTTCTTCATCGCAAGCTGTCATAAGCATGTCATAAGTAATAAAATAAAATGCTAGTTCATTTAAAAATATTCTTGTTCCTAATATTAAAAACAATTAAATTAACATTTGATTTAAATAGGAAATACTATTTTATATTAACAACAATAGTTACCCAATTTTTCCTGTTTTATCATATCAGATTTAGAAAACTGAAAGAAATATCCTTCCTCAGCAACGGAACGTATTGAAGCTTGTAGACCGTCACCTTCTAAGAAATTAAAAACTCGAAATATTCCTATAGATTTAGTAATCATCTTTATGTATATATCAAAATTGTTGCTTTCATTTATAATTATATTTGAACGTCGTAACTGTTATTAAAAATTTGTAATTATCATTCTCAGATGAATACGTTGTATGTCTTGACTTTTTGACTTACCAAAGGGAAGACACTGGAGAGGTAGTCAACTTGCTGTTTATTTTCAACAATAACGAAAACATTGCATCCTTCAGATAAACAAATCGAAATAGCTGCTATTGCAATGGGATGTGTACTAGAAGTAATTAATACTGATTTTGATCTGACCAGCTTACTTAATACATTAAACACATAATACGCCTAAAATATGAATTCAATTATGTGAATACAGACATTGTACTACGAAATTCCAGTTACTTGCCACGGCGTACGATAATGGCACTGTAACGGCATCTTGTAACGACCAAGTTGGTGGTACGGGCCAAGACAAGTGATTGTCTTTTGTTAGAATATTTTCTGTTTTATTATAAGACAGAATTCCCATCACAGCTTTGCCATTTTTAGAAATACCCGAGTATTCGAGTGGGCCAATGTCCTTCTACAACAATAATTTGTTCTCAAATATATAGCAATACAACTATTAAAAATAATACATACTTCCGTATTGTTGTCCTCAAAGACTACATTTTTATGATTTATTCCGAGATATTTTATAGTCAGGCCATTGGTGCTAAGAAAAATAAAGTTATTAAAATTTATCGATGTTTGAAAGCATGTTTATACATGTTATATACTTTTTTATTGGAATTTGACTAATGGGAAATAGTTGACGAGAACAACGATCATCCGTTTTTATGTTTTTGATAAATACATTTTTATATGATCCCCATCCTCCGTTTTTATAAGTATTTATTATCAAGTCTTTGCATAATTGTTCTACATAAAAGGTTATGTTTGTGTGTAATTCCGGAGCCCCCGAATCCAAAATAAAAACGAATCTAAAAAAGGGAAAATATTTTAAGTTTCTATTTTTTACTCTCTAATTTTGAGAAAACTCTTTTACCTAAGTTTCTGGGTCTTAAATGTTTGAAACATTTTCAGTACGTATTCATTGATTCCTTCTGGTGGTACAGAGGTGGATAATAAATATATTTTTCCTTTATCTGATTTACACTTGGTTATATGTTCCCATATTTTTGAATCCAATTTGCCAGTGTTTGTCTTTAAAAAAATACTGTCATCGCTCAAACTGTTGACCTTAAACAATGTAATTACGATTGTTACTAAACAATAAAAAAATAAACTTAATGGATATTTGGACAAAAATATGTGTAAAGTTATTATATTTTGATAATTTGTAATTAGTGATAATTACCCTTTTAGGTATTCAAGTAATTATAATTGATTGTACTTATTATTATTAGTATTACCTTTTTTATTAATGTTACGTAATTTTTGTCAAATTTCTGTTCTTTGATCATTATCCACCCCTTAACATCATCTATACGCTTTGCTGATATGATAATTATATAACAGTTAGGTCTATTAGCTAAAACCTTAATACAATCTTGTAAATAATTAATACTAGATACTGTTATGTATGATCTTAATTCCTTATTATTCGAAAGTTTTGTCAAGTCCTCCCAATTCATGAATACGTTCTAAGACAATACATACAAATTCATAATATGATATAGAATATATAAATACCACGTCAGTAAGTACAACTGTATATTATAGCAACTAATATGTAATTACATCAATGTTTGTGGTGGTGTTCAAGATGTGTTTCAAAGCATCATTACATAGCTTAACAAATGGATCATCGTACTCATATGGAGCTGATAAAATTACCTTGTGACGTGTATTACTTTGATCGAATTTATAAATTTCAGTCAAAAATTCTACACAGTCTTTAATACAATTGTTGATATCCTAAACAATTTACATTATAATTATTAATACAATTTATAATATTAATTATTTAATATAAACTGTTTATGTTTTAATATATCTTATTAAATTAAATTACCTGTTTAATGCACTGATTATACAAATGAAACGTAATGTTTTCTAATCTCAAGGTAAACGATTCTCGATTATAGGTATCTAATTTCTTATTTTTTACATTACTTATTTTAACTCCATCACAAACGATTTCTTTTGTTAATTTGTTGTAACACGTTGGTATACCTTAAATAATATAATTGTAGTAAATACCGTTTGCTTAAATGTTAAATACAATCAACTTACTCTCATCATTGCAATTCTCAAGTATTGTAGGATTAATCCAAATTTCTAGAATTGAATTTGGAGTCTCAATGTTGGAAGCATTCAGCTTTTCTAACAGTGATATTTTCAATAAGGAGTCCAAAAAATGTAGCCAATCGTTATTCCATTTTATGTTTGCACGGATTTCATTTCTAAATATTTCTACATTGCTAATTGTCTTGAAATGTTCTCCTAACTGGTAACCTTTTTCCTCAAACATGGCGTACACTTCATTTTTCGATATTGACCATTCAGAGTTTTCATTTGATTGGTAGATTGTTTGAGAAGATATGCATTCTTTATCCGTGAATTCTATTTGACCTGTCAGTATAATTGCGCCGTTCAAGTTAAGTTCAAAGAACCCAGAGCTTTGGATCATATAATTTATTATTTCCAACGAATCTGTAACTATTTGTTTCATTTTTTTTTTTAATAAAATGTTATTTATTGTTCTCGAATTCAATAACTCTTACTGTTTGGTGTGATTTCAATATTTTGTTTAATTTTGATGTTTTGGAAAGTAATAGCATCATTAAACGGGTTTTTCATATGTATTTCACTGAACTTTACCCATACTTTTAACTAAATATAATACGTATAAAAGTTAAAATATTATAATTATTTACTAACTTTGAGTACTCACCAAGAAGAATGAAACGGGTACAACATAATGTCCATTAATTTTATGTTGAATTAGTTTTGCATTGTCATTCAAAGACAATAGTATCACTGCCTTTCGATTTAACTATTATTATAACAAAGTTTATAATGTATTTTTTAAACACATTTTATCATAGAATTCGATTAACTTTATAAACAAAATATACATATTTCACATATAATTTAATTACAATGATAAAGTTTGCTACCATGTAATATCACTATAATCAATACCTCAATGCTATTCTTATAAATATTAGGCCACTGAAATGAATGATCCCACAAATTAATCGTATGAAGAAATGGAGTCCCACGGCTTACAGGGTAATAAACTGATGGGTAAAGTGCCTGGATATTTGGATTAATATCGTTGACGTACATTCTAAATAATCAATTTGAAGTTTTTTTTAACACTTATGCAAAATAAAATAAAATTTTTATGAATATTATTGATTTTTTATTTTATTTACTTTCCAATAGATTTTAGCAGAAATTGAACAGATTGACCGAAAACATTTTTCGTTAACGGTATGTTAGTCACTGTCTCTGGTAAAGAACGTTTTAAAATTGCCTGTAGTAGACCGTGTGGAGCGATTTCTATTACAACAGCGTCGTTGGGTATGTGCCGCGTAGCTTCCTCAAATAACACACTGCTTAAAAGATTATTTGTGTGATATTCAGCTGAAGACTGTTTGGCTAAATTCGAATTCCATTCAGACTCTGGAATTGAACTACATATCCATTTAGTAGACCTATCCTTTGGTTCTTTAATTACCTGATCATTAAAAAAAAAAATGTTTAATAAAATATCAACCAAAACTAGGACTAAGTCCGTGGTCAATAGTGGGGCGAAGCGGTGGTATTTTCTTGGGCTTGCAAAAGTCATACTGTTTCAACTGACTATATTATACAAATAGACTCCAGACACCCTTGATCAATGACGCGTTGACTCGGGGTTCTTACACTATGCGACAAACCCTATTATGAATAATTTGAGTACAGTTTACATTCTGTCAAGCACGGTGTTTCGCCTTCTTCTCGATAATAATAATTATACGTATATATATATATATATATATATATATATATATACGAAACGCCATATACGAACGAACATTCGGAGCAACTTCCCCGGAACTATTTGAAACTTACCCTGCATAATATTTGTTACAATGCGTAACTAAGTAACTGGTTTCAATGAAAATCGAACTATGTACCCTTCAGATAACAAAGAATATATATTTTAGGTTTCACTGAGACTGATCGAGTAGTTTCAGAGGAGTAGGCAACGATAAATTACCGTTCGATAGGGGAACAAGAGGGCTCCGTTTGGCGCCGCCCCACCATATAATAGTTTGTTATACTTCTTTGAGATATTTCAGAAGAGCGGGAGATGCTGGTTTTATGTATCTGCTGTGATATGCTATTCCTGCTACATTCACTGTTTTAGCGAAAATACCTTGAGACGTTAAGTGTGAGACAAAATTTTTAACGCTTTCAACTGGACCTGATATAGTACAACTAGATTTACTGTTGTGACAAGCGACGTCAATATCTTCCGGCAATCTATTTTTTATACCTTGATAACCAACACCTAGAACGAAATGAGTTTTTGCTCGTATTCACTTATACTTCTTTAACTTATACAACAAGAATTTCCATATTACCAATGGCGGCCATCATTCCTGGTATTAAATCTGTTTCTATAGACGCAACGCCACGTGCGTATGCAGCCAACAGCATTTCTTCGGCAGTTAGACAACCATCTGCATAAGCACAACCCAGTTCACCAACCGAATGCCCAACGATACCGTCTGGCACTATTTCCAACGCATTCAATACATTCACTAAAGCTATCTGAAAATATGAATAATACTAATGTAATACATAATCAAGAACAGTACGTATTACTACTACGCACTTGTATTGCTGCTATTCCCACAAACGAGTTAAGTATATTTTCGAATAGACTTGGTTGTACTGTTGTTATTATATCAATGATATCTATCCCTTTTGACCGCAACACAACGTCACTTTTTCTAATAGATTCGGCAAATATTGGCAAGCGCATCAAATCTGCTCCCATCCCGGGCCATTGCGAACCCATTCCGGAGAATACAAACCAAATTGGTCGTTTTTTTAATGTAACGTCCTATAATATTATAAAATATTGCATGTATTGTATGTTCCTAACTTCATCAGATGAAGTGGTCTTAAATTATAGCTAGATAAATTATGTATACTTATTAAAATTGTTCTTTGTTTTTAGATGATATGTTTAAAAACAAATCATTTTCTATCGATTTAATACTAGAGTTTTCAAATTAAAATCATTGTGAAGCTAGTTAGATGCTTTGAACATAATCATGATTATACAATAGAAACGTAGGAATATGACATTAATATATTATACATTTTATAGTTATTTAAAGTCTATGAACAATAGTATTTAACATTTGGTTTCTGTTTATTAATTACAGAGTATGTCACATTTTTTATAATTCTCACCCAAGCATCTCCAATTTCTTCTGAATTCAAATTTGGATAAATAGCATAGCTTCTATGATAGTGGTTTGGTATCATTTTTGAAAAAATGTTTTGTGTTAGAGAAATATATTCGTTGTTTTTTCCATGTTTAAATATCTAAAAAAATGTTATTTATTAATAGGTATATAATCTAGTTATTTTTAGTCATCCTTTGAGAGACAAATTGAACTTTGAAAAAATAAATTTAAAAAACAAACGATTTGGAAAACCCGGCATTTATATACAAAATTAGTCTGTCAAGATTTATCGACTGTTAACTTTGATGTCTTGTCAGAAAATTTAAGCTTCTTCATTGGATGTTCTCAAAAAGAGTTTTTAAAAGTGTAATTGAGGTTTCTTTGCAGAAATATGATAGAATAGAAATAGCACTTACATCGAACATTATAATATGTTCTATATTTATTTTTTCAATGTAAATCGATTGTATATAGAATTTACCCTTTTTATGGTGTCTACAGCATTTTCATACGTTCTTCCAGAAGCCAAAATTAATTTCGGTATTAAAGTTTCAGATGATTTATTCGGGTTTATCTTATTATTTCTTTTAAGTATAACGTGATTAAACTCGTTAGAAAAACCAAAAGAAGTTATTCCGATTATATCATCGTTGAAATGTGTCTTCTGTGTAACCACCTGTGAGGGTAAATAAATGAAGTAAATTTCTACACGACAATTATTGATTAAGTAATTGGCCGTTTATTGCAAATAATATTTTTATTTAAAAAGGTCATAAGTGAATAATTAGTGCTCACTTGCATCTTTCCGTTCCTTATAGATTTAATATTTAAATTTGGTGTCGAATAATTGATATTTGGCGGTATGTAACCATTTTCAAACGTTAGAATGGCTTTGATGATCGATGCAAATAAGCTAGCTTCTTCGGTATGACCAATGTTACTTTTTACAGACCCTATTTTTAACGGTGTCTTTCGTTGGTTGGTACAAAATATTTCTTCCATCACGTTAAGCTCTAGTTCGTCTTCAGCCTTTAATAGTAAATTTATAATTTAAATACCGTAACATGTGTATTTTATTGAGTTCATTATTTTACTTTGATCCCACACCCGTTTGCTTCTATGAAATGTACAGTAGATGGATCCACTTTAGCTTCTTTGTATGCTTTCAGTATGGTTGATTTTAAATTGTCTTTAGAATGTTTGGTGATATGTCCTTGGTGATCGCCAAACTGCATCGCTTTTGCACTCAATATCGTACCATACGAACGTTTTGCCTGTGATGCTCTTTGCAGTAAAAGTACAATACACGCTTCTGATCTATTGTATCCATCAGCTAAAAATTGAATTTATCATGTCCATTAACATTAACCATGTCTATTTAATTAATACGATATTCTGATGACGAGAATATATAAAATATTGTATTATTTTTATAATTATATGATTCCACTAAATATCTATCCATTTATCTTATCTTACCGTCGGCGCTAAACGATTTTGTTTGGGTTGTTTTCGTCAAACTGGTCAGCTTATCGAATTGTTGATGCGCCACAAACTCAGAATTAAAATTGGATACTCCAATAATTGCTGAGTCGATATACTCACATTCGATCATTTGTTTGGCCAGCATCAAGCTTTGGGATCCACTCACCATTGCAAAACTTGGACCTACAATTTATATATTAAATTTTAAATATTTTTTTTATTAAAAAAATGTGTAAACAGAAGTTGTATGTAGTTTTCTTTAATTGCCTTAAGGCATTTTTATTTATACGATTAAAACAAAATCATCACATCAATTTATATTTTGTAGAAAAAAAAATTTTAAAAAGTGCATTTTCACAAATTAATTTAATCAATTAAATGAAGTAAATTAATTTTTTGCTTATAACTTCAAAAGTAAGTCTGGCCGCCAAAATCTGACTTCACCATCATTTTCATCGTAATAAAATACATAAAAATTTGAAAAAAGCGACTAGGAATTAAACTGCATTTCCCCTAAGTTTTATACCTATTTAAAAATATTTGTAAAAACTAGGGTTTAGTTCATGAAATATTACAAAACGCTTTTTGATTATCAAGAAAACGCTAACGTATTGGACATTTTATATTCTTTAAAATATTTTAATAATTTTCCATACCGAAGTATAATCGAGTTGTACTGTTCTTTTGAATAAAAAAGCCATTTACAAATATCAATTTCATTTCATATAATTTGTTTTACTTACCTATTAAATTAAGTGTATATGAAATGCGATTGGCTTGCATTGTTCTAGCAGTTCCCAATATATAAAATGTTGATTTATATTCTCTTGTTATTGAAGATTCACATTCACTAAAAAATGAACCCGTAAATACGGCCGTGTTCGTTCCACTTAAATCATTGGGACTAATGCCTGCATCGATGATTGCTTCTACCGCTCGCTCACTTAAGAGTCTTGCCGCAGGGTCCATAACGGCTCCAAGTTTTGAATGAACTTTGAAAAATATTGAATCAAACGCATCAATATTGTTAATTTTACCAGTTGCTGTAGGTATATGATTATTTTCTGTAATTTTAAGATAAGTTAATTTAAAAAAAATCATCGTTAGACATCAATGATATCAGAATAAAAAGTTGTTTGTTTACTCTGAATCCATCTTCTTGTATCGTCAGTCACACCATTAACTTTATTGAATAATAAAGATTTGAGTTCGTCTGCATCATTACACTCAGGAAACTTTCCGCTTATGCCCGATATCACAACTTCGTCTTTGAACGAATTCATATTTTGTTTAGCTTAACTGATCTAAATGACTAAAATCAAAACATAGAGGATATCAAAGAGTTTTCTCTTATTTCAAATAATAAATTTAAATAATTAAAATTAAACTACAATACCTACCGTTTATACGGATGTTGATGAGCTTGACATGCACTTGAACATTAAGTATATGAATCCAATATATTATACTGTGACAGCGTTCACCTACTAACTGAACGAATTAGTTTAAACCTCGCATAATTATATGTACTTTCATGACCCATAAAAAAACAATCAAATCTTTTATTTGACTATTAAATTTTCAAAATTAACATCTTATTCATAATGCAAATATGTATGGGTCGTTTGGACCGTGGATGTATATACATAGTGGTTACAAATAATTTATATTTTTGAGAACGGAAAGCGACGAATTTTTGCCGGTTGATTCTTTTAACGCCCTACACTATTTTACTCTTAAAATAATTAAAACATTTTAGTTTTTCTTTTTGAAATCATTTTTGTTTGTGCTATATTACAATAATAGACAATATTCAAATTTTTATCTTTTTTAGTATTTTCTAGAGCTATTTATCAACTTTTGAAACTTAAACGGTAACGTATATATTTTATTAACTTTTTAAATTAAGAATGATTTTTTGAAAATATTAACTGGTCGATAACCCGTTTTGAATAAATAGTTTTAAAGTTATTAAAATTTTTAAATTTAGGACAGGAGAAAAGATGGAGAGTAGAGTTATTTATATCTGCTCGCGTTTTTCAACCGCACTCCATACATTTTAAACCTAAATAAATTTAAAAATAATTATTCAAAACTGATTATTGACGAATCAATTTTTTCAGTAAATTATTCTTAATTTGAAAACTCAATTGAATATATATATAAATATATATATATATATATGTTACCATTTAAGTTTCAAAAGTTGATAAAGCTCTAGTAAATATTAAACAGGGTAGAAATTTGAATATTGTCTAATAAAGTACTATAACATAAATAAAAAAATGTTTAAAAAGAAACACTACAGTTGTAACTATTCCATGCTTTTCTTTAACTTGTTAAAACGTACGTACGTTTTAACGGGTATTTTTCAAATATTGCAAAGTTAATTTAACTCACTTCCCGATGTCGTAGAGGGCTGAAACTTGGCACAGACACTCGCCTTGGCAATACAAAATCCTGTAATAATATTGGAACTTGTATATCCAGGTCACCCTACACAGGGTCATATGTAGGGGTCATTTCACTAAAATGTCATGTTTTTCAAATCTTCCAAAATGAATTTAGTAATCTATTCACCGATTATTAAGTACCTTTAATAGAACTAAAAAGTAAAAAAAATGGCGTAATGGCCATCAACATGAGCCATCAACCAAGAGGTTGAGAGTTTGATCGAGTGCGCGATCCTGCTTTTTTTTGCATTTTTTTTTGTTTTTATTTATATTTCAACGTTTAGAAAAAGTTGAAGCCTCAAACACTTTAATTTAACTTGACCTGCTCGCTTCTAAATGCGAAAAACCCATACTATGTTCAAAATAAAAAGCGACCTCGGCGGTTATTTTACGTGACGTATTATACTCTGAAAATTAAAAATACGACTTACAATATTTTATATGTTGAAAAAAACACGAACTGCGATTCGCGTCGCCGCGCTGCTGCAACTGGCGCAACGATAATACTGTAAGTTCAAGTAGCTGTAACTTTTGAACTACAAGAGTTCGTGGATTTCTGATGACAGATTTGACATCAGTGTAAAAAACATTATAAAACGTCAAAAAAAATCGAAAAAAAAAATGCGTCCGGAAAAATAGATTTATACCAACTGTTAAATGTATATTAACAGCTTTACTCAAGCTTTCCTTTAAAAGATCAATCTCTAGACATTTTATTTTATTATAACTTTTTTCTCTAATAGTAAGGTAAGTAGCACCGTACATTCGCTTTTTAACCGACTAACCTCTAGATATTCAATTTTAATTTAAACCATGGCACTCGCTTTCTTAGCAGATCCATTTCTTTTCCAACAAGTATCTAGACTTAGGTGGACGAGGCGCCTAACACTACGCTTATCAATACTAATCAGTACTTAAGCCATAGTGCCCTTGCCCAACACCAAAGCCGGGCACTCCCCTCCGAATCTGTGACCTATCCAGCCACCTGCCAGCTACCATCTGTGACCTACCCGGTTGATTGTTTGTCTAAGATAATTTGTTGAAAAAGTTTCCATCCATTCTAGGGAATCAGAATAGGATTTTGATATTTTATTAATTTGTCAGCGGAAATATGGCCTCACTAATTCTCAAAACGTTGTATCGCTCCATAATTATCATTTTAAAAAAAGCCAGTACAGTGGGGTCGGGGCATAGTGGGGACGCAGAGGTCACAGGTCTACAGATTTTATTATAACTGAAAGTGATAAAATCACTTTTAAATAAACGCTTCGATGCGAATCTGTGGATAGTATGTTCAAACCATTTATAGCGGTTTAGGAGATATTGTGGGACCAGCAATAATGTACTTAAAATTTAATATTTAGTCTTGTATAGAGTGGATACGATAACGGTAGATCGTCTGTCTATAAAAATGTACTGTCATAGTTACCCATATATCGTAATTAACAATATAATGAAAATATTTTCATTACCTGTTGACTGTTGATTCACTCACACATAGTAACCTAGAAACTGATTACGGCCAAAGTGTAAATTTACCATATTTTTGGTGTTTTTCCTTAATAAATAAAAAATTTGACTACAGATTTTTGAGAAAATTGTATATGTTATAGTTCTATTTTAGATCTCCCTTCGGTCTAATTTTCAGATCTAAATCTCTAAAACTTTGCTTGAAAAAAAAATAAAGAAAAAAATTCTATCCCTTCTAGGGGAAAGGTTTTATGATATTTTTTTGTTTTGTTAATGTTTATCGATAGTACTATGTTTGGAGAACAATTCATATTAATTTGAAACTTTTTCGACTATTTTTAAATAAATTATAGAGCATCGTAATTTTAAGTTGAGAAATTTGTAATTTTTTTGGGTGTTTTTCTCGATTTTGATGGGGAAGGGGTGACTTTTTTAATTTTTGGCCTATTAAAGTACTTTCAGGTATGATTTCTGATCATAGAGTTGCTACACGATGTTACAAAATATCGTGGGTCCAGACACAAAAATTAAAATAAAAACACATCATTGTAAAAACAATACCTTATCAACTCCGCACTGAAGCTAAAATATTTAAATTTATAGCGTTTTTTTCGATTTTTAAGGGAAAGGTATGAACTTTTTAAATTTTTGGCCCGTTAAAGTACCTTTCTAGTGCAATTTGTGTTCTTTCTATAATAAGCCTGTCGTATTTAGCATAACAATGTTTTTTATTGCTCACATTGTGTGAAGCACAACCTTGATATTTGGTATATTGTCTAACGCTTTGTTTGTTTTTTTGCGTTAACCTAATTATTTATTAATATGAATACTTTAGGCATAAATACCAATTTATGCTAACCTATATTAGGCAGCAATGTATTTATTACATCGGTAATATTTTATAAAACAATACTTCTATTAACATTTCATTACACATTTAAACCCTACATATTTTAACATTGATATTATGATGGAAATTATTTTTTTTAAATCTGGTAGGATAAAGTATTGGTTTTTTTAGTTATCTACTACTAAAGTTGAGATTAAAATTAGTTTTCTTTTTAATTTTTTTAATTGTATTAAGAAGAATACCATTTTATGTTCTTCTAGTTCACATTGTTCTTAATTTTTGTTTTTAATTATAAAATTATTCGGCATAGTAACTAGATAAATTTTTGTCAAATATTGCCTATAATAAACAGCGCTTTCCGTTCCCTTTAAAAAAGATTTAAAATGTACTATGTCGAAGCGAATTTTATAATTACCATTTCAAAAAGAGTGACTTTTCTTGGTTGTTTTATAGTCTACTTTTGTAGACTTTAGCTGTTGATAGCGCTTGAATCGTTGATTTAGACAGAATCCCAATGCACATATTATATAGTTGTAAGAGTAGTACTTCCTTAAAGCTGAAGTCATGTTACAGCAATAATTTGCAGTAAATAAAAAGTTGGTTAGCACACTCAACTATTGTGTTATTTAAATAGACACTTTTAAAGAATAGCAGCACAAATTAAAACAGGATAAGAGTGGATTTTTTCAGGAATATTTTATCTCATCCCATTATTGTCCTATTATTATTACTATCTGTAAGTTATTGTAAGTAATTATAAAAGCTTTTTATGTTTGCATCTGAAACTATTTAAATATCAGTTCAATAAATGGTGAAAAAACATTCACAGTTAAAGTAATTGCCAAGGTGACCTCACTCAAAAATGATACTCATTAAACACTTAGATTTAGTTGTTCTCAAACGATGTCTCGCAAGTTAAAACAGCTTACCTATGCTATAAATGTATAGTAATATAAACGATTAAAAAAAACATTTGCGTCTGACTTAAGGACAGTGGTTTATTTGAAATACCGAAGATAACCTACTCTATAATAGTTTATCAAAGTTAATATAATTACTTTATTAATAACAAATAAGACAAAAGGATGTAGTTTCGGTGAATGTATAAAAATTATAGTGAATTTATTATTTATAACAACTACGACTAAAGCTATATTTTTTTATCAATTCAAATTTAAAATCGTTAAAGATATTAAAATCAATGTCAAGTACTAATATAGAAACATTTATGTGTACAAATACGGCTGTTGTAGATTTGTAGACATGATTGTTGATAGATATTTGATTGTTTTTGTACCATTTCATGTTTGTGTACAACAATAATATTACTTTTGTCACGTAAGTCACTTATTATCTTATGACGCGTTGGATGCATGTTTAAAAACAAACGTTGAATAATTTTCCTCTGTTAAGTTCGTGTTATAATTTAAAATTTACTAACGAATTAATTAAATATTACATCCTGGATGTGTAGTTGGCCTTAGGCTAATGTCCTAGCAGCGCATGTTATTATTACGGTTATTAAATTTAATTTCAATTCAAACTTCTTGAATGTAATAATGTATACTCTGGTGTACTTTTTATACATCTATAAAATCAATGGTTTTAGTTGTATTTGAAATTTCACAAACAGTGAATACGTACACCGTTAGAAACACTACAGAAAAAACAGATAAAAACAGTACAAAATATAGATTTGAAAATGACTTTTT